GTCGAAAAAAAATTAAAATATTTATACATAAAATAATTCAAATATATTAATATGAAATCTATTAAAAAAATAATATTTTACCTATCAAAAAAAAAAAAATTAACCATGCAAATTTTTTTAAATTTCTCCTCAATTTTGCTAATTTAACCTGAAAACAAATCAAAATTATCGATTGCTGATCAGAGATTAATCGAAAAATAAATTACAAATATTTAGAAACACGTGAATTTCTCTCTCTTTTCTTGTTCGAATATTAAGGCGCAGTCATGGCCTGCCAAATTTATTCCCTTTCCCCAGTGCCCCGTGTCGGGGAAAAAAATTCCAGACGCCGGATTCGAAGGTGTGGAATGCCAACAGCCACGAAAGACTCTCCTATCTCTTTCTTAAGGAAAGACGAAGGGCCGCACGCGTATGCTTGGCCGCTCTGACGCACGAAGAACTGCCGTGAACAGAAACCAGACACGCCTGTAACATTAAACCCGGTCGTCGATGAAAAACGAACAAGACTTCCGCGACGGATGGGCTTTTTTAATGACAGATTCGAATCGTGGAGCTTCACGGATCATTCGAAGCTACGTTATGCCACCATCTTTTAAGTTAAAAACACATTATAGCCAGTTTCTCACAAATTAGCCGATTCGACCGCTAATTTTAACACATCATTTTAACATCCACTAATCTAACTATTCATTCAAAGATATAAGTAACTTTAAAAATGAACATAGTAATTCGATATTAGTTACAAATCAATTTTTTTTATATTATAAACATAAATTTTTATTAAATTAATAAAGAAAATTATATTTTTATTAAATTAATAATAAAAATAATACAAAAGAATAAGATGAAAACATTCATAATTTTAATGATTTTTAGATATTAGATTTTATAGATAATTATTAATTGTTTTGTTAATGTTATGTATATTATACATTTCGTTATTTCATTAATAATTATTTATAAGGATTTAATTTATTGCAAAGTAATTAAACAAAATAACTCAAACAATAATCTATATAATCTTCTGTTTAATTTATCCTATATATTTTCCCTCCAATTTAACCTTCTCAACTTTTTTCAATCACTTTTCAAAATAAACAAAATAAAAAATTCAAAATAAACAATCAATTTTCGACTTCAAAACAATAATCCATTCAAATCGATCTACTAACAATTTTCACGATAAATTTGAATTATTGAAGACATTCAAACATAAAATCATTAAGAAAAAAAAATATGCTTTTAATAAGAAAACGCCATCTAGCGTCGAAGAATAGATCTTATTCGCAAAGCAGCAGCCATTCTGTTTAAAGTTATTTGAAAAGTCTACTATGCTGCGTGTTCGGATTAGTAGCACTAGAGATCCCTTATCACTATTTAAGTAATGAGCTGGCACTTAACAGTACCACTTGTCTTTCATTCTTCTTATATCTCTGTGATCGTCGTCATCGTCATCTTCCGTCGTATATATTCTTGACTTTTTTAACCCTCTAGTCTCATTGTCAGAATTCGTAGTGTGGTGTGAGACGAGTACTGAAGCTTCGAGTGACAATGAGCAAGCGAAGAGGAACGACCGTCTACTGGGAACCACCATTAAAGCTCGTGCTTCTTTCGGAGCACGTCTGCTATCCCAGAGGGCTTCTTTTCCTCTACTAACAATGCCACTTCGCAGACTTCGCAGTTATCTTCAGCCGGACGATCTTTGGCTAGACGATGATATGTATAAAGAAACACGATCCAAGAACCCTCTTGAATTTAGTCTTTCGTTGGCAGTCGACTTGATTTGATGAAACGAATTTTTGAGACAATGATTTTAATATTTTGATATTTTTTTTGGTAAATTTAAAATAAAAACTTTTATTATATTATATTATAATATTTTTTTTACAAAGTTTAAATTGGAATATTTTATATTTTTAATAAATTTATATTTTTAATAAATTTATAATTTGAATATTTTTATATAATAATTCATGAAAACATTAAAAGTTATTCATCAACGCTAAATTATCTCTTCTAGCTAAATGTTTTTTAAATAGAAAGATATGCTTATACGCATTCCATATTTCGTAGATTTAGCAAAATTTTAAATTGTTTAAAATACCTCTGAAACAAATCAAGAAAAACAATCAAAAAAGAGTAAAAATAAAAAAATAAAAGCAAAGGAAAAAAACGAGAAACGAGTAGATTGATATTACAATTTTAATTGGTTACCTTTCGAATACGCTATATTATATCAGCACAATAACATCGTAGACAATTGTAAATGATAGTCATGATCACAACTGTCGCTATAGAAATAACCGTGTCAGTAAATGATCGATAAGAGTTCAACCACATGAGCGTATCAATATAATGAATGTTGTAACGTAACATTAGAATGCATGCGATCAATCATATATTCGATCAATTTTATGTCTATGCAACAATATGCATTGTAAATTTTATTATATTCGTCGAGTTATCAATATGGTCGTTATTACGTCATTTTATAAAACAAGGAATTATAAAAACATTTTAAACGAATTTTTTTATTATTAAAATTTAAAAAATTATCTGTATTATTACTATACATTCTTAATTATATAATATAAAATAAATAATTTAATATTCTTAAATAATATATCTTTTTCTTTAATTGCTACTTTTTCTTCATTTTCCATTAAAAATATATTAAATGATGGAATATATTTAATATTCTAAAAAATTATTATTTTGAGATTTTTCTTTAAAGTTATTAATAAATTCCCTAGATGAGCAATGAAAATGAACAAAATACTAAAAGCAATAACTTTGCATTCGTTGATGCAAAAAGAAGATAAAACAGAACAATTCATTATATTAACAATAACAAGAAAAACGAAAGAACATCATTACATTTCTGTTTAAATAATTGTTATGACTAAAATTGAAAACAAATCATAAAATGTTCAGTGATATTTTCAAGTTTTTTATAATTATTGTTGTTCTGCGAATGAGTTTATTTTAATTTTAATTCATTTCTCAATATTGAAAATTAAAATACTTAATTTATATTTATAAGAAGAAAACGAATCCTAATTTTTAAAAATTTTATTTTACACTTTTCAATCTCTTCTCCATAAAAGTCACTGTCTTTCTTCCTATTCTTTGTCCTAACCTATAACGGACTATCTCATATGAATGTACGTGAGAGACGGATAAAATTTGTCTTTTCTTGTACACTTAAAAACTTTATTACACGATAATGTTTGTAACAACTTAATCACGAAGCAACATTCATAAGAAACTTCAAATACACCAATCACATAATGTTTTAAAAAACAAATATCTTTTCATTTGTTGAATGGCATATGACATTTTCCCACGCGAATCAACTCGTCACATAATAAAGGATTGGCATTGAAAAAAAAAAAAGAGATAAACGAGACAAAAAGAACGGAATTAAACAACCAGAGAAAACTCAAAATGGCATGTCCGGAGTCGAGAGTAATCACAGTGATTTGGCCGACGATTTCGGTCAATCTACATAACTTAACGCGCCTTTCCTTTCGCTGATAATTAGAGTCGGCAATGCTTGCTTTGTCTCAGCCAGTAACGAAAAAAAACCGATCAACCACCGATAAGGAAACCTTCGAACAGATTGGATCTTATAGAGGAGTATCGCCTTTAAAAAGGCTTATGTTTGGCTTTCAAGTTGTATGACAAAAATTAACATATCCATATGTAATTTTATATATATATATCTCTTTGTAATTTTATATATATATATATATATATTCAATCATCTTTTTTTTTTACAAATTTTTATGTATAAATTCGTTGATAAAATTATTAAATGAATTACGCACGAGACAAAGACAAAAAAAAAGAATATGGAAATAGTAGCGAATATGTTAATTAAAAATTCACAAAAAAAAAGTGAAATCTTAATTACATATTCGGAAAATACAGATAATAATATAAAAAAAAAAAAAATAACGAATATAACATGAAGCATGACATGTAAAAAATAAACGAAATGTAAAAGTGTAATTTTCATTTTCAAAGTTCGCATCAAGAAATATACATTATATACATATATGTATTGTAATATTGTATATATATGTTTAAATGCGTGTTTCGTCGGTAAAAACGGAACACGCAGTCAGTTAATATATACATGTCGACTACAGGACGTGAATTTTTGCGTTTCGTCTTCTAGGCCGCGTGAGAAGAAACATTAGAGAATCTCTGATATATCGCATCAGGATACGGGACACTGCGTTTGTTCCAGACATATACAGATAGGCCACGCATGGACGAATGAGAACTCATAATCCGGTACATAAGGATAATCTTGATTGAAGATGTCGCTAGTAACGTGAGATTATAAAAATTAATTATCGTTCAACCGCGAATCCTGCATATTCTTCTTTCATTTTTTCTTGGATTACTGGAAAAATACTATTGCGCGATTCTTTCTAAATTAAGGTCTTTTTATTAAAGTTTATAAAGAGTAGTGTGTGGAAGAATGATTTTTTATTTTAATTTAATCCATGTTATTTTATCTCTCACACTATTTGTTGGCTTATTTCATAAATTAAATTATTATTTTATAATTTGAATCATCCTATTCAATGATTTAACTTTTCTTATTTAATTACAGTAATTGAACAATATACGTCAATAACACAACAATTACATTACGAACCTTTGAATAAAGGTTGATGATACGACATATTAAATCAATATGTTTATTTTCAAATGTTTTTTCAATCATTTTAACTATAATATTATTCTGTTAAAAATATATATAAATATTAATCTTGGAATTATGAATATAATAAATAATAATGAACATGATAGAAAATTATTATTAAACTTGATTAGAAACAATTAGCAACAAAATGACATTAGTGAAAATGATAAACCAAATTATTATTATTAAATTAAACTTGATCAGAAATAATTGGCAAATAGAACAACGATATTTAAAATCAATGTTAATCTGTAAAAGAATAAATAAAAATATTGCTCACCAGTGTCCTTGATACGAAGTCTTGACAAGCTTCACTGTGAAGAGGAACTGTATAGCGCAAACGAGGAGACAGCAAAGATTCAAGGAGAGGGCGAGGGCGCACAGCGCCAATGTCACCTCGTACACAATCGTATATTCCTCCGGGCTGATCAGGCTACTCGGCGTCACCGTTAACGGTGAAATCTTCAGCAAGAAGATTAACGAGAGTAATGCCAATAATAACGACACCAGACACAACAAGCCTAAACTGGTCAACGTCTCTTTCGCTCCGGACTCGTGGTCTTTATGATTCCTCGATAGGGACGAGGACCAGGAAGCGTTCAACGGGAACGCCGTAGAACCAGCACCGGTCAACTGACCGCCGACAGTCGTACCTTGGAGAACAGGTGCAGGTGAAGGTGTCGTCTGACTGGGTAACCTGGACAGTCTTGAAATATCGAAGCCTCCATTCGCTTTGGGTCTGCTATCTTGATGCAACGGCACCTGGGATATTATTGTATGTCCCAAAGTCGACACGTTGTTGTTATTATTATTATTGTTGTTGTTGTTGTTGTTATTGTTGTTGTTATTGTTGTTGTTGTTTCCACCACCGACAGGACTAACACTATTCACCGAATGCTTCGACGTGGACAACGTAGACAAGTTAAGGGCATGGGAATGATTTAATCGTTGGGACAGATTGTTCACGCTCAATTGGGAATGATTCAAAGGGTGTCTGTGAGTGGATGATGGCGTCGTGGCAGCTTGATGCACATTGCCTCTCTGATGGACTACAGAGTCGTAAACGTCGACTCCCCGTCCTTGGCTTCCTGTTCCACGAACGTTACTTTGGTTGTAATGAAGGTGTTGTTGCTGATCCTGTTGGTGACTGGAATGATGGTGATGATGGTGGCCGCCGTGCAACGAGCCCGAGCTCGCTTGATAATCATTGTGCTGGTGCCTGGAGCCCGCTGACGACGGTTGCCCCGTCAGGATGTGTTTCAGCATTACTCGATGCTGGATTGTCAGAAGGAAGATTGCTCCTCTACATGGCACCACGCGGGATACGTTTCATGTGATCTTTTCGATGTTGGAAATTTTTTTTTTTTTTTATGTAAAATTTTTTAGAAATTCTTTTTTTTCTTTTTTTTTTTCTTTCTTCTAATTAGTTAAACGTTGAATTTCTGTGCGGTTTTTTTTTTGTTTTTTCTTTTTGGTTTTCTTCTTTTACGAATTTTTCAACACATGAATAGGTTCCTGGACTTAGGGAGTTGCTACACACCAGCTCCACCATGGCGACGGCATTCAATAAGCAGTCTACATTTCTAGCTACCTTTCAGCTCATGCTTCAGAATAGTTTAGATGAATTACTTTGTAATGAAGCATGAGAACAGGGACCATCGTCTTTAAAGGCATGATTATTCTATCTTTTATTTAAAGAATACGTTATTTTATTCTCTTAATAAATTGTAAATAAAAAAATTATTGTACTTAGATAAATACTTGGTCCCACTTTATTTTTGTTCTTTGATTACATTTTATTAATTAAGTATTGAATTATATATTCGTACATAAATATTTTCTCTATCCATTTCTAACTATCTCGTTAATAAGTTTATCATTTCAGCTTTTATCTACAACTCGTAAAAACGGAAATTAAACGCTTCTCCACAAGGGAGATGTTAATAAAATCATTGGTATGAATAATCACACCAAATATTTTTCTCGATTATTCGATACGATCCGTTTTTACCTCTAAGAATTTATTCGCGCTCTCAAAGAGCAAAGACAATGAGAGCAATAATCATCAATAATATTTCTTTTCCTGATATTTCGTTTCCTCTTTTTGAAATGATCGATGGATTGTTTCTTCTTATATTATTTTGCTTTTAAATGATCTTGAATTTTAACAAACGGTTTTTCAAAGTCGAAATTTTTAACGTTCGATCTTCTGCCTCACGTCGTTAAGAAGGAGGAACGAGAGCACAGGAAACATAGTCGGCGTGAGCATGATTAGATCCGGTCCGCCCGATGACCTTGCTAGTGAGAATAGCGGTTCGTTAAGGTGGTTGCAGCCTTGGTCTGCTTCTATGTCCAGAGAACTCGTTAGCCGGCATGGCTTCCGAGATGCTCCTCCTGAAACAGATTGAAAGAAAATAATTAATCGATTATACGTGTATTAGGATCATAAAAAATAGATAGATAAAATTAAAACAAGTAAATAACAATTATCCTTTCAATTGTTTGGAGATTTAATTTTTGTAAAAGATGAAAAATTCCTTATTTAATTTTATAATAAATAAAAATAAAATTTTCAATGTACACGATCAAGTAGATGCCACAAAAAAGAAACAAGTGACTGATTCCCATCATTTCGTTGTTCTATGTATATATAATATTTTAGATAGACGCCTTTCATTAATTTCGTTCATTGTCCTAATTGGTTGAATACACAAAAATCACATTTTCAATTCTTAACCAAAAACTCTTTCCCACGCTTTGAGCTTAACTGTTTGAGTATTTATTTAAATGATTAGGCAACATAAAACGTTCCAATGTTCCTATTCAAGATGTTTAAATTAAACAGTACATATTACTTATTATATTAGAAGTTAAAAGATAGAATTATAAAGCCATTTTTTTATAAAATTTTTAAATTTTATTTATATTATATTATTTATATTGTATTATATTTATTTATATTTTATAAAAATTTTATTATTAAATCAATCAAGAAATAAAAACAAATAAAAAAGAATTCATAAATGCACCGTTGTTTATGTTAAATACATATAGAGATAGAAAAAAATATATTTCGGATTTAAATAGGAAAAATATTATACATATAAATATACATATATAGTCTGTATAACAGACTATAGATAAACTCGTTCAAAATAATTCAAATAATTTCCTTATTTTCAAAACTTATTTCTGTATTCCTAATCTAAATAATGTTTTAAAATCTTTCATTTTTATATAGAATAATTATTAATTAAGTCGAAACGTTATTAGATCATAATTTTATACGTGCCACGTATTAAAGTACAAGAGTCAAATAAAAAAACGAATCGTCACGATAAAAAATATTCGCTCGAATACAAAAGTCTTTTACGACCTACTTCCTTAAGTAGCAAGACGGCATATTTTCCAGTCGTTTAACTCCCTCATAATAGGATTTAAGGAGTACACATACAAAACTATAATTTTTCATTATTAAATTATGAAATTATGACTTGTTTTTTATACACACACAGATCATTTTTATCTTACACGGAATTTTAGTTATTTAATTTGTAAATAATTATCGAAATAAATATTCTAAATAAATAAAATAAAAATTTAAAAAAAAAAGAAAAAGAAAGTTAGACTTTCAACACTTTATTCTTATTATCTTTCCTATTCTAAATCTTCTACACCAATGGCCAATATTTAAAATTACATCTTCTGTTGTATCGACCTTCTTTAAAGTTTCCCGCGGCAAGTTGAACACGCATCGAGTATCTTCTCTCTTTTTTTTTATCCCCACTCCCTTTCTCTTTCTGACGGTAGAGAGAACGAGAATGCGCAAAACGCGCGGATCACGCAAACGCTTCACGATCTACGAAACATCGCGTGAAATCACCGATCCAATCTCTGTGTGCGTAGTACGCTATAGGGATAACGATTAAATCGACAGGATATACTTTATTGGCTATTCCATTATTACAGGCCTATTATCTGTGAAGAAATAGTCATTAAGGATCGATGTATACAATGCAACTATGGACTGTCGAAAACGCTTCTGTATTGCATTCACAATATTGTAATCTAAGATTTAAAATTTAGTATAAATAGTATAATTTCACCCATCATTTATTCTAATCAAATTTTTTTCTTCTAATCTAAATTTTGTATTTTATTAAATTTATTAAATTAAATTTTAAAATTAATTTTTAATTAAATTTTGATTATCGATGAAAAAAAAAGTTAAACTTTCCACGATCTTTCTTTCTTTGTTGCCAAATTATCTATTCTTCATTTCGAGTTACAAGTTTCAATTATTCTATTCTAAGCAATCCATTCAAAAGGATTATATACAAGAGTTAGAAATAGTTTCTCAAGTAGTAGTTCTTTTCAATACCGTTACATCCGGTTGAAGACTCGCAACGCTCGAGTTAAGACGCGTCTCGATCGTAGAAGGCGGAAGATCGAAGTTATTTTCTATGATCGATCAATGGAAACGTTGCACGCGAAAATACATGAATTTCGATGAAATATTAATATCCTCCGAAATTATCGCGTAATAATGTAACAAGCAAGTTTGTTGTTCTCGAAGTGATAAACTTATATATTACTTATTATAAAGATAAATTCAACTCTCTAAAATAAAAGAAAAAACTTATCAATGGATTTATGAACCACAATTCATTATTTTTACCTTTCATTCATCATTTCATGGAAAACTTTTTTATTAGAGTATAAACATTTGGAAATTCATAAAAAAATCGTTATATAAATACAAATATAATATAAATACAAATCTTATTTATTATTCCCGTATTTGTCTCGTGTTTTACAACAAAAAGAAAATATACTTAAATGCATTATTTATATTATATTTTTTACCACATTCGATTTCATTACAATTAAAATATAATTATCTAGAAAGATATAGTTATATTTTTTGTTAAAGTTTTTTCCAGACAGAGAACTTATAATATTTAATATAATATTTAGGTACTTATTATTTCTGTATTTGTCTTATTTTACAAAAAAAAAATATACTTAAATAGATTACATACATTACTTTTTTATCACATTCAATTTTAGGATTAAAATATAACTATCTATTTAAGGAAGATATAGTTAAATTTTTTAGTGAAATCTTTTCCGGTTAATAGATAAAAAATTTCCTAGAACACTTAATACTTAGATATATTTAACAACTAACAACAGGTAAGCGATAAAAGTTAATGATATAACATTTATGCTCAAGTAAAAACGATAAAAATCGATGAAGGTGTAAAAGAAATGGCGTATTCTAATTGCCGGATATCGTTATCATTATTAGGTAGATAAGGATGGTGTAGGTTAGTTCAAAACTGCCATTCGTGATTATTCTCCATTTACATTCTAAGATCGCAACTTTGATAGTTAATCTTTCTTTTCTATTTATTTTCGTTAAATATAATGTCATAGACTGCTAGGCAAATAAAAAAATATATCGCGATCAAACGAAAATGAAAGTTGATAAATATTTTATTGAAATTAGAATTTAGTCATTCGATAAACTTTACGTTATTTACATTATTATTTCATATGAAAGGTATAATAGAATTTCACGGCATATATTATTCGAACCGTCCTTTGTCATTGGAATTCTATCGCAATTTTGAATTTTGACTATGTAACTTGATTCGATCCCGTGAATCCTCTCACCATCACTCCCTTCTTCCCTACGTTTCAGATCATGTGGCACAATCTTGAACCGCAGAAACAAGCAGAACAGGGTAGGGCACGAGGAGAGGATTTACTAAGAGAGAGAGAGGGAGGAAAGAAAGGAGAGAGAGAGAGAGAGAGAGAGAGAGAGAGAGAGAGAAATAGAGTAGAGACCGTTGTCAATAGCCATACTTGACTCATAGAAACGGGTTCCGCTCGCATTCCGTGTGTCCAGCCCTCCGTTGGTCACACTGACTTCGTTCAACCTTAGAACATTTTCTTTTTCTTTTATAGGGATTTCTGTAAACGTAGTACACGCGTGCACATGCGCTACCGCGACAAAGATCACACGATTCTACACATTTATTTAATAGTAAGGAGAAATATAATATGTATAGTAGTATAGTATGTATTTTATAAAACAGAGAAACGTATTACGCGAATTTATGATAAAATCATACAGTAATGGAATCGATTTCAAATAATTTTTAAAAAAAGCTATAATTTTGATTCGATGTTATATTTTATAATTATTTTTATTGTTTTTTTTTTTTTTTGGATTTTATCAATTTTTATATATAATTGAAATAAAACAATTTGAAAAAGTCAAAACCAAAGATTCTAAAAAATATTAAAAGATGTGATGTTAGTGCAAAAATATATTGAATTTAAAAATTAAAATTTTATATATATAAACATATATATATAAACATTTTAAAATTTTTATATATATAAACATAAGAAAAGAAAGATTTTAAAAAAATTATAACTAAAAATTAATTAAATGTCATTTAATTATAATTATAATATAATTTTTATGTTATAAAAATTTCTCAATCAACTAAATCTAATTATTACATATCTAACTTCCAATTAAGGGGAAGAATTTTTTCATTTTGTTAGATAACAATATTTTAATTGCAATAACCAGATTATGTCGATCGAAACCAGGAAGACCGAATCAGATGAATGCCCGTTGTTGATTATTTGCCAAATTCAGCTATAACATAGCGAAAAAAGAAACTTATTTCTTAAAGACTTTTGTATGAATCATCCCAATAAATTTTGATCAAAATATAGGCATATAGAAGAAACGAAAAAATTCATAAATTCGAAAAGAAATGACAGATTCAAATCCTGTGCGATTTACCGATCGACTTTCAATAGTTCAACCTCTCGCGTATTCTGACCGGCTTCTCTTTAACAGCAATATATGTTAAATCGATGTATAAAGTGAGAGGTTTCGTAAGAGAATCGATGTGTCCTCTACCAGAATAATAAAGAGAATAGCTGACCAATGTATCCAGCCATGAAACGAATCGGTAGAAGATGAAGATTGGAGATTACATTCTTTCGATTCACTTCTCGAAACGGTACAGGCCATGAATATATGTATATATATATATATATATATATACATATATTACGTATATATCGAGGCGCGCGCCATGTTTGCAGAGAAGGGATTAGATAGGTTGCCAGAATCTGGAATTCTAAGCGTGTATACATAACCTATATTTTTCCTAATTTATATGATATTACGTTTGTGATTGTATTATGTTTATAATTGAATGAAGATCTTGAATGGGAATATTATTGTAGTTTTGATCTTAATTGTTTGCTAATTCAAAGAAACTTTAATTTTAATTCAAACTTCAACAGATTATGAATAGAGTAGTAGATGTATATGAAGTTATGCAAAGTTTGAAATCGTT